ATAAAAAAATTGAATGTAGTAGTTAAAAAAGTAATACGTGCCGCAGTTTCCAAGTTATTAAATATATTAATTATGAATAGGATAATAAATACCTCTAAAGTTCTTGCAATAATTACGTAAAAAAATATTACGCGAGAATGCTTTTTTTATAATATTTAACATCCGATAGTTCACTCAAGCATACAAGTAGCATAAATTGCAGCCTTAGAGATTTATACGTAAATTGTAAACTTAATTTGAAATGTTAGTTTTTATGATAAATCTATATACAATAAAAACTAAAATTCTCAAATTTAGGGATATTTTTTATTTACAGATATTTTTCATAGAAAGAATATTACCGTTTTGTAAACAAAATATAATTTTATTATAAAAAAATGTAACATTTGCTTTTTGTAATAGAGGAAACATTAAACAGCATTAAAGATAAAGTTAAGACAATCAATCATTTATTTATTTTTAACAAATATACCTTTATTTTAAACAATATATTTAGTGAGTAGTGGAAACTAAATGAAGTGTGCGAATTATTTATTTCTGTGAGTTTGTAACATTTATATAACTTAAATATTAATTTGAGTACATACTATGCATACACTCCAGTTGTTCAATATGAAACTGAAGATAATATAATTAAGTAGAATGTATACATACTAGAAATATATTATGGAACTAAATATAGTTTCATTACGTTTATATGTTTTGTTTCAATAAATATAAAAGCTTCGAAGTATTTACATCATTTGAATCTTAGTTTTTAACACTTAGCCAACCGCGCGCGTCACAACGTTTCTTACCGCGCATTTTTCCAAGTATCAAGGACTAATATTCACTACTTAAAAAATAAAGAAATCTAAAAATTATTTAAGTGGTCAATTATATTTTGCGGTAATGATTATTTAAAGATTTCATATATTGTATATGCAAAACATCAAATTAAAAGTATATATTAAAAGCATAAAAAATATAAGTAAAATTAAAAATATTAAAGATGATTAAAGATAAATAACATAACTTGAACGTGAAATTAAAAATTCATAATGCATTTTAATATTTTTTTTACAGTGTGGTATCGTTCAATTATAACTTTATTTAGTCATAACTGATAGTGTAACTTTTTTATTAATTTTAACACCACTAAATTGGTGTATTTTATTATATACTGTACTTTATAAAAGCAGAAAAAGTGACGCAATTAATTGGGAACAATTACAGGTAAACAATAACTGACAATAACAAAAAGAAAGAAAACGAGTTACAAAAGTCAAAAAGGGAGATCCCGTTCGGTCATGCAGAGATGTACTTTACAGAGGGATGAGATCTCCCTATTCGCTTGGCTAAGTGTTAAAATTGAATAAGCTCAAAGTAACGAAATCTAACATTTTCTATGTTTTCCTATTGTTGTACAAATACTTATTAAAAGAAATATTCTTATGTATATATGTTATAATGAAATAAATGAAAATCATTCCTTATTAATATTACTTAGTTTATATATTTTAATCTCCAATGTATCATTATGATAGTCTTATACTTTTTTATTCTGTCTTAAATGTATTTTTAGCTTTTTACATTACATCAAATGTAACTTTTGCTATTATATACTATATACTATATAGTAAATATTTAAAAAAATTAATTATGAAAAAAATTTATTTATATCTTACAATAGAAATCTAAGCAGTCGGCTCAACAAAATATGATCACTTTTGGCATGTTCTGCCATTTTCTTAAATGAAAAATATCGGTTACTTTTAAACGCGATGGTTATCAATTGTACTTAGATATATATATGATGCTCAAAAATCTCAGAAGATCTTATGTATGTTAATATTACAAATAATGTAATCGTAAAATTTCGTACAATTCCAACAATTTTTTGTTAAAATAAGGCACTTTCCAGGTCTCCATATTAATTTTAATGCAGTCGATTAGCAGCATTGTAGTGCAGAAGGTTATAAGATTTATCAAATTGTAATGCGATATTAAGGCAAAAATTACTGCAATCAGTATGCCATTCCTAAATCTATTATAAATTGAAAATGAGTTTTGAATATTTGTTTAGACAGGTCCAGCCTATCTTGTCTTTTCCACATCATTCTGTTAGATTATTCCTACTTTATCTATAGTCAAAAGTTATCTTAATGATGTGAGATAAGGTTGACACGTCATTCTTTGAACAGGCTGATAAATTCTTTTTTGAACTGAACCAGCAATTGATCCATTGTGAATCGTATTCGAAGATTCAGATTCTCCAAGATCGGTTGTTCCGACATAGTGCGATCCTCGAGAATCGTTTTGTATTTCACTTGAAATATTCTGTCCATTTATTTCGTTCCTTTTACGAAACTTGGTGGAATATTTGTAAAAATCAGACATTTCAAAAGGTTTTGTAACTTCTCTGTATGGTTGATATTTTCCAGCTTGTACAATTGTACAATTCTGAGAAGATCCTAACATAATTGTTTCTTCATTTGTTTCTTGAGGTGATTTCGATTCGGCTGGAATTTCAAGTATCTTTTTTCGTATCGGCTCGTAACGAGATGATAATGGTTGTAAATGTTGATCAGTTTCAATCGTTAGTATATCACTTTTACGATGATTTACAGAAGGAATGTAATTATTTTTCCCATCTTCGCCATTACTATTAGTGGATGATTTAGAGCACACAGGAAGAGTAGACTGATAGTGGATATTTTTATGGGAAGATATTAAATTAACATCTGGTCCTGGACTTGTACCTGAATCCAAAGAGGTTTCATACCATTCTTTTTCTCTTCCTTTTCTACTAATATTATCCGTTGTATCCTTACCATCGTGCAGTTCATGTAAATGATTCGAATGCCATTTTTCGACGCTTCCTAAAGATTGCGTACGTAGTAACATTTTATTGTTAGTTGACGGTTGTTCAGATAATGGAAGTAAATGAACAGAAGTATTTTGATGAGACGCAACGTAAGAAGGACTCTTATTGCAACCTACGGATACTGTGCGATATCGTGGTTGTATGTCGGTTCCAATACTACTCGTATGTTGGACGGCATTGCGTTTCCTTCGATCTAAACTACCAAATCTATCCGAAGCAAGTTGATCATCTGTGCACCAAACAATTTCGTCTTCATATCGCATCCAATAGCCTGATGGTAATTGTGACTCGCTTGGTGAATCTGTATATCGCAAATTTTTATTTGTACTGCTGTCGCGGTCTCGTCTTAGTACGGGTTGTGGTTGTGAATTTTTATGATATATTGGAAACTCGGGTATATGCGTATAATGTAATGTACGAAAGTCTCTTTCGTAATATTCCTGTCCAGATCTTCGCTGGACGTCATTATCTAAATGCTTATAGTCAGAATATTGTTGATGATTATGCATTTGTTCTGGTTGAAATTGGCGGTATCTTATTTGTCGTTCGTCTTCGGCATATGCATTTGGCAGTGGTCGGTACATTCGTTCACTATCTTGATAGTGATTTTGATTACGCGAGCTACCACTACCGTGAGAATACGTTCGCGTGCGACATTGATCGGATAATATATAAACATTTTGATTATCGTTATGATCATGTTCTATTATTTTAATACCTTGTCGCTGATCAGAAATTGTAGGGCAATAAGTACCAATGTGATTGTGATTACAAGTGCTAGGAATTGACTGATCATCATATCCATGATTAGGATAAGTGCTACACTTCTCTTCTGATCCTAACGGACTTAAGCTTATACCACCTTCTTGAAGCAATCCTCTTGTAGTTTTCGAATTTACATCATTTACTATGAAAAAGTATATTTAAAACAAAGTTAAGTAAGTTTAATCGTTTTCATATCAGAATAAAAAGTTACTGTACCTGTGCCATCTAATGGTGGTCGAGGTTTTTTTGTTCTATGCTTTACGTTTGCATGTAAATGTGGTTGGGCATTACAAATACTAGGATGTTGGAATTGTGTTGGAGTTGAATGATGAGTTTTATTACGACTTTGTCTTAGGAAATTTAAACGTGCTTCTAATTCTTGTAGCCTGCGTTGGCTTTGTTGGTAAACAAGTCTATGTTTACGGCGTACTGCTTTGCTTTCTGTAGGATCATTTACAATTCCTAAAGCAGCTTCTACTATACCAATTTGAACTTGTCGTTCTAATTCTAAAGCAGATTCCTCCTGCAAAGAAAACACAATAAATCACTTGAGTTCTACTTTGAAATCTTGAACTTAATGAACTAATCTCTTAAAATTTCTTAAAAACATACAACTTCATTTGTTTTCAATTTATTAATTAAATTTTGTGGATATGTAAATGCTGTTCCAACTCTTTTACGGAATGCTGGTGGACTCTCTCCTGGTTCTAATGGAATTTCTGGTGGCAAAACACCAGTTAATTCTGCTTCCTCTACACATAGATTTTTAAGTTCATTATTTTTTTGAGCTAACTTCTCTTGCAATGCTTCCCTACGTTGACGAAGCCATTGTAATCTTGTGGATAATGAATCTTCTGCCAAAGATCCAGGTGTGCTTTCGTTCCCTGCCATCACTTTGAATAAAAATTCAGTTATAATTTGCGAACATAATTCACCCTCTTATTAAATAATGCAACAAAGTCATTTATAATAATTCTATTTCATATTGCTTACCCATATTATTAGCAAAATATATTGATATTTTCTACTACAGGTATTTTATTTGGAATGTTTATATAATTGAGTTGCATGAGATGCGACAGAAAATATCAATGTTGACACATTTAATGAGTCATGTATGTTGTAACATATGACCTTTCCTTTGTTTGCATTACTTGGAAAATTTTTCTTTGAAAATCTAATTTTCATCATCTCTAAACTGCCTTACGTTATAAGTTCTATAAAACACAATAATAATAACTAGCAACAGTAGGTTAGCTATTAATCAAGATTACATATTTGTACTATTACGTCATAATAACTAATCCTGAAGCTTGTTTTATTGATATTTATAGAACATCCTATAATAAATAAAAATATTTCCACTAATTGAACACAAAAGCATATATCTTTTACTATGGGAACGAAAAATATGATCGAAGAAATCGACGCTTATTGCCTCTATATAGTTGCCATCTTTTATACTCTATATCGTTTACAATCTACATAGTGATCTGGTGTAGTTGAATTTTATTTTCAGTTATACAAATTTTCGTAAATATTTATTATAATTCATATGAACTTGTTTTTTGACTGCATTGTTTTTGTCACTTTAAAATAATAGTTCCAATTATATCTAGCGGCGTTATTGGAATTGCACTAATTAAACCAAATTAAACACATTTGTTTGATTGGAATTCATTTTCACTCATTAATAATATTTGACGTTTACTAGTTTTCAGAATTTACATTAAATTTGTACAAAATTGAGTTACAGAATAACTCGATAAATTCTAAAGTTAAGTAAGTAGCAAGTACAATGCGTTCATTAAAAAGTTTAAATTAAAAACTTTCGGTTGATTTGTCAGTAAAAGCTCTTGATCAATTAGGTGTAGGCTTAACATGGTCAACAGTTTAAAACCTGAATGCTCATTTACATCATGGCACCCTCTATTTTCTAAAGATTCTTTGAGAGCTACAATTATTCATATTCCTGATGAAGTACTTAAGTACTTGGAACACGATGCATTTGTTTTACCTGTTGAGGCAACAGATTCCACATTGCAGAATACAGAGTGGATGGATGGATCTCCAGTAGTAAACGATGAGGTAGGTTTAAAATGTGTACATAAAAAAAAGCAATTAGAAATTATTTTGTTTCAGCATTCACTCGAGGCTCAACCAACATTTCCACAATTCAGTCAACAAATTCAAGATGTCATAGACGAATATGGTGCAGTTTTCATAAAAAGTAATTGGAGTTCACCTCTGGTATGTAAAAATTTTGGCTTCTACTGGAAAATATTTAATTTAACTGGAAAATATTTTCAGGATGCGACCTGGGTTGCACCAACTAAAACTCTGAAATGCAAGACATTGGAAGAAGTATACTTATTACTAAAAAGTTCAGATAGAATTGCCAAAGATTTGAATAATACAAAAAATTATATAAATCATGAAACTCCTATAAAATCTTCTCTTATCTTAAAGCAATGGAAGGATATTAATCCTTGTACAGAATTTCGGTGCTTTGTAATACAAAATGAACTTATAGGTAACAAATTTAAATTTAGCATATTTATGTTTTATGTTACATAATTATATATTTATCAAAGATTATTGCTTTAATTTCTCTCAGCAATTAGTCAACGGGATATATCACAATATCATAGTTACAATGAATCGGAAAAATATAATATTCAGACAGATATAAAAAGCTTATTTATGGAACGTATTAAAAACAGGTTTCCACTGAATAATTGTGAGTATTTGTGGAATATTTTTGCTAAATTAAAGTCTACTTCTTAATCCTAATATCTAAAGTCTATATCTTTTAATATGTAATATACTGTAATATAGATTCATTTGATGTTATACGGCATAAAAAAGAGAAAGTAAAAATAGTTGACTTTGGCCCTTTGGATGAATCTGTTACCAAAGGAACTCTTTTTACATATGAAGAATTACAGAATCTAGAAGAAAGTATTCCAGAATTTAGGTTTATCGGTGAGGAAATTGGTATTCAACCGAAAGCTCCAAATCATTTTTGTATTCCACAGGAAATAAATGAATTTTTTCAATCTAACGAAAGTTCTACGTTGCTAGATATTATTCGGCGAGTAAGTATATGATTTCTCAAATTAGTAGTAACATATATACGAAGCAGTTATATTTAAAAAGATATATATATATATATATTAACTCAATATCTTTTACTTAAGGAGGTGGAAAGTCAAAGGAAAGAATACGAAAGCGCAAATTCCAATAGTTTAGAGCATGATTGATGTGTTTGAAAAAAGGAAAACGAAAAAGCTAATAACAAATGAATAATTGTACACTTAAAAACATTTTTAAATACAGAACTTTCACTTTTATTCTGCCAGACCCTCTTCTATCATTACATTACATAAAACGATTAAAGGCTATCCTACCGCTTAAAAGAATTATCGTAATATTGCAATATTTTTCGAGCCATCGGCCTTACCGAGCGACGTCCTTTATATAGAAAATATGTCTTGTTTATGTACAATATGCAATCCTTAATACTTCGATTTGAAAAAGGATTCTCGATATATGTACCTCCGGACAAGTTAATACGCTGTACAGTCATATCCACGGAGTATTTTTCGTTCTTTTCTCATTATTACCTGACAAAAGTCAACAAGTTCGAGCAATTATATTGATTGATCCTTACTCATTTTTTTCTGATTTTACATTTCTTGATACATTTGAACATGAAAAATATTTGATGGTAACTTTTAGCAACTGTAAATGTAATTAACTCCTTTTTTTGTTCTTTATTTTTAATGTTTCATCTATGTGCGATGTTCTTCAGGATTGTTATCATTTAGATATTCAGATATTTAATTGTTGGTAATTCGATATAATTTTTGTTTACTTTACATTTATTATTTTGCAACTATTAAAAGGAAGAAAAGAAAAAAATAAATTTGAAGAGAAATTTGATTGCCAATATTAACAGTTTAGTTAAATAAATCTAAAATATATCAAAAATAGAATTTTAATAGATGTATATAATATATACGTAGAATCAATTCAAATTTTAATTTGTAAGGGTTCGTATTCATTAGTATAGTCATAATTTGGTTGTCCGTTCAGACGTATATGACGACTATTCAAGTGTTTCGATATTTATCATCATTCAATATTTATAAATTTAATAATTTACTCTTTCACCTCTTTACGACCAGACTCTCGATCATACGTAATTCAATCACCTTTAAAAACAAGAAACATTGCTATGACCAATCTCGTCCATAAAACATTAATGACTTAGTAGTATCAGTGTCGCAAAGAGATGTGCCAGTAATATGAAAATAAATTTTCTGTTTTAACAAATTAAGCGAACAGCAAAATCAGAAGTACCTACAAAATACTGCATGAGATCACGTAATTTTCTATAAAGACCTTTCAGTTTCAGTTTCAATTGTTAGCGTTGTAGTGCACCGCTGCTTTTTTGTACGCGTTTATTACAGTAGAACGATCTTAAAAATATAAATTCAATATTTTCAGTCCGAAACATGCGTTTGTCAAAATGTGTGAAAATAACGAGGCCTTTAGCATTTATCGAAGTCACAAAGGAATAATATGTATCGCATGGAAAGAACTACGAAGATTGCAAGTTAATGCATGATTTTGTTCACTTAACGCTAGTCAAATATTTACATATAAATGCTGGTGCAAGTGTATTCACATGTAAATATCGATTCTACGTTAAATATAATGATGCGTTAGATCGAACCGTAGCCTTCACCGAACAAACTTTTTCCGACTGGTCGTGTATCTCGAAAATATGTATTATTAATGTTTTATATAATTACAGTACATATGTATAATGGTAATGTCTAGAAAAGAAATGTTCCCTTCATTCGTGCTTTTCCTTTACTGCATTCTTTTAAACGTATATACAGAGAAGCCGATCTTACACGTTTCTCTTTCTTTTGTTCTCCTTCTTTTTTCTTTTTTTTTTTTTTTTACTTTATATTTCGGACATGACTGTACTGGTGTCTATTACTTTTCTTTTTTCGTTTTTTTTCTGATTTTTCTCTTTTTTTTTTAACAACTTCGTCCTCGGTTTATCTGGCTTCCCGTCCCTCATCGGTTTCGTTCGTCGTTTTCTAATTACTTAATCTCTTGATTTTCAACTGATTTGTGCTAAACGACAATACGTATTTTAATCAATGTACGTTTTGCAGTGCACGGCCGTTTCGTTTATACGTATTCTCTCTGCCTCTCTCCCTTTTTCGCTCTTTCGCTCGCTTCTCCACTTCCACTCTCTAGAATTATCTGTTACTTATTTATTTTTTCCTTATTTTTTTTTTTTTATAATGCTTCTTCTCTTTTCCCTACATTATTTTCTCACGTTGCTGTTTACAGATATCAAAGTGACGCGGCAAACATCGTCCTTTCGAATACTGGTAGTAAGGGGTGGTTCGAGTGAGAAAAAACAGTAGTCTTAATAAACGTACGATACAAAAACTCTTAAGTTAATCACTTAACGGCCAGTGTAAAGCGGTTTTGTTTCTTTCTACATTTAGTTTCTTCTCTCCTGTCTTTTTACTATATCTCTCCATTCTTCCTTCTTGTTCGTTTGCTTTTTTGTCCTTCTTTCTTCTTTTTTTCTTTTTTTTTTTTTAAGTACCTGAAAAGCTCTCGGCTCTGGAAAACTTTGCTTATCCTTAAGTGTTTCTTCTAGTTTTTCGTTTTTTTTTCTTTATTTAAGTCCATTCATGAGTTCTTTTTACGAAGACTACAGTTACCCCTCTATTATAAATGCGATTGGTACGACTAAAGGTGGCGAAAAAGGCCAGGCTATCACTGACAATCGTATTTTCTTCCTCGTTTTTTCTCTTCCATTCATTCACTCATACGTACATGCACATTCATTCTGTCTGTTTCTCGCTTGTTTTGCTTTAACGTATAAGCTACATGTAATGTGTTCTTCTTCCATCCCATCAAAAAATACGTATTATTTTGGTGTGACGTTTTTCCAAAATTTACACTTACTCACAAAGATGCATCTTCTCAACGTCTCCATCCGTTCGTGTCTATTTGTTGCCCGTACGTCCGATTCTTTCCGTAATTTCATTTCCATCCCTTTCCTTCGTGTCTTTCCTTTTCTTACATCGCTTTAGCTTTACAGGAAGATAAGAGCTTACGTTTAGACGATAACATTAACTTGACATTTTTTTTCCTTGGCTCGCCCCGCTGAAAACTCGTCGGATCACGCTGAAATTTGTTGTGGGATTATTCGTTGAACGATTGAAAAGGGATTCGGAAAGTATGAAATGTACATTATTTACAAGAAGGTGTTGGGCGATTAAAATGGAATAAGATAGACAACTAAACTCAGAGAAGCGGTTGAATTCATAGATGAAACATATCGTTAATGGCTAAGATATCGGGTTTTAGACCAGGATTTTGTACGCGTTCTGTTATTGCTAATGATACGACATTGTTTAAACATAAATTATTTTCCGATAAAAATTTAAATGTTCGCAGCAGCAATTACAGATTGTCTATATTACCCCCACCTCCACCTCCACCCACTTATTCATGCGATTCAAAGTGAAAGATATTATTTAAAATCGTTCAAGTTACAGCGGGCGAAGTGTATAGAAATTGCTTAAAAACATGATGAGAATTATGAAAAATGATCGACGCGTGCACGAGGTAGAGTTTTACTAATCGTTGACAGAATGGAAAAACGAAGAAGATACTTTATCTTACGATCGAAGCAACTAATGTAACAATTTACATGAGATTATAAGAAAGATAATAAATTTAATATGCTTATATCTCGTACTTCATTTCTCTCTCATTTTATCTTTTTCTTTCTCCTTTAAGGTTATTTCTGTTTATCGTTTATTTTCTTCCATCTTTTGCTTCTAAACGGAATCACTTTGGTTCGTATCACGAAAGGAGACTATTCACAGGAACATTACTTTTCAACATCCTTAACTCTTAGTTTTTTGCGCCAGAGATAATACATTAAACGCCTCGATTAACGAGTTTTATTAGCCTTTAACGCGGACAAACCTCCAATCACACTATGAGGAAGGCGCGAAAGAAACGTACGGAAATTAATCAGTGTTTCGTAGCTTAATTACACAACCTTTACAAGTGTTATCTTTGTTTATAGTTTTATAATATGTTGCAGGCATTCACGCGTCACGACAGCACACCGAAAGATGATATAAACTTGTCATTCTGAAACAAGGTGAAGCGATTTTGTACTAAAGTGCAGCGATATAATACTATACTTTTAATGAATTATCTACGTAATGTACAGTGTTTTGGGTACTTTTTACATGCACCGTGACAAGGTATGGTCGGCCTGTACGACACACATGGTTACTCTCCTTAGTTATATATATTTTCTCGTCTCTTTTCTCTATCATCTCTCCTTCTCGATATCTTTTCTTTTAAATACGTTCACCTTTATTTGGTTTTTTTTTTTACTATTATTCATCCATTTAACCATTTCGCTACTATTCCCTTGCATGAAGGTATGACACTACAATTTACAAGAATCATCTCGATTATAAAGTGAAGGTTCTAAGTTATCGAGAAGCATTACGCGGAAAGGCAAAAAGTTCAAAATGCATGTTTTACTACATTAATTTACCGAGATCTATAGAATAATTCGTCTATTCAGTCTGACCACACCATGTAGAAGAACGTGGAATAGTATCGTCATGATAGATACAGTAGACAGAGTTATAAATTCAGGCTTTTAATTATAAATTCTTTAGTCTGCGAGGGATCTATCGACAGTCGGATACGCTTATTTCTCTCTCTCTCTCTCTCTCTCACTCTCTCTCTTCTTACTCGTGTTTTCCTTCGCTATTTTTTCATTTATGCTTTTCTTTCTCGCGCTCACACTATTTCGCTCATTCTCACTTTCTCGAGCACGCCTACTTCCCGCCACAAATTTCTTTATCTTTTGACTAGATTGCGTCTCTAATATCCTTAACGATTTACTTTAAGTCTGCCATTCATTATAATTTGCATCTTACATCTAGTTATCATAATAACATCTAGTGGTAAGAGGATGCCCTATACCTCGAGAATCGCTAATAAACTGTTCGCTTGTTATCTCTCTCTCTCTCCCTCTTTCGCTCTTTCTATTTATTATCTCCTTCCTTTGCTCTCTCATAGATGGAACGGGATTAGTGTTTACGCTGTATCGAGAACTGACGCACTCCGAATTATCGGTGTGTGATAAAAGTTCGTCTCTAACAACTCCCGTATTCGCTAATATATTATGTACAAGTTTGTAGTTTGTGTATCTCATCATCCAATCCGAGCGAATTACATACGCGACTTGGTTTCCCTTCGATGCGCTTTCCGGCTGTCAGTTA